GTCTTCAACAGTAGAACGGGTGTCCCGACCTTTAAGCCGAAAAGCATTATTTTTCGCGGCAGATATAGGCGGGGTAGTGGTACCTACCCGTGCGGACCCACAGGAGGTCCTACCACCAGTAATTACGCAAATTATATTTTTGCGGATTTGATTTTTATAACACGACGTTATTCCTTCACTGTAGAAGTCAATCGTAAACATTTGTTAAATACGGATTCCATTAGAAAAATTGGTACCCGCCTGCGGGATTCGAACACCGTTGCATCGCTAGATACGAATGCACCGGACGTCTTATCCTTTAGGCCAGGACGACTTCAATACTTGCATGGTGTAGTCCACTAAAGACGTAAAGTGTAATCTACTTGCGTGGACTACATTTTAAGTCCCGGGGAGAGTCGTAGGATGAAAGACCACCTATATCCTTCCCACGGCTTGAACGATTTCCCAATTCATACCGAATCTCGTTAAAATCAATTTGGCCGTGATAACGTAACAGAGAGATGTATTTAAGCTACACAAATGCATACCTACAGATACTGAGATAAATACATAATAGTCGTTAGCTCGTTTTTTCAAAGTAGTACCACTTCCGGGACTTTTGATGACCATTAACTGACTATTTATTTATTTATTTATTTATTCTTTCGTGTAGATAAATTTGAGATAGAATTAAATTTCTTTGAATTATATATTATTATACATATGTATATAAACTATGATTATGTAAAGGTCATACGCGATCACGTCATCTTGATTAGTCACACGAACGGAGGCGCTCACGTCCTTGCGTCACGACAATATGCGGGCTAGTGATGTACTATGTAAATTATCGATTCTCTATATCCACGATTGATGCGATAAATGTTAATTAGGTAGGGAGCAGTTTCGCTGAGCTCTTGGAATTGATGATGATTATCGATGACAGTAATCAGGTCTTACCAGGTAGGTCGTATGCCAATTTAATATACTTATTATCCTTGGTAATGTTTTCAGTATTCGCCCGTGTATTCAGAGTTGTGTCTTTAGAGTTCAACGAGTTACTAATCAATAAACACGAGCCACTGAGTTTCTCGCCGGATTTTCTCAGTGGGTCGAGATTCTGGCAGTAGGTTCAGAGAAGCACTGCTCTTGATAGGGCCAGTGTGAGCCATTCCTTCAGGTTGAGCCCGCGAGTTACTCTACCGGTCTGCGCGTAGTTGGAATAGCTCCTTAGGTTAGCAATGATTAAGTGGTTAAGCCCACCTGGTGTTAAGCAGTGGAGCCCATAGACATCTACAACTTAATTGCGCCACCCACCTTGATTATATCTCAAGGTGGGTGGCGTGGTTTAATCATTCCGATGTTTTAATATATCTTCAAACGGCAAACTATAGCCAACGGTTTCTATATACTTGGGTAACCAACTATCAGCAGATGGGCTCATAAATGATTTCCATTAAAAAATCGATTCAGTTACGATTCATAACAAAAAAAACAAATTTGCATTATATCGATAACGAAATATCGATAGGTACATTCCGCAACGCTAGAGCCTCGTGACTGTGAACGTAAATGTATCGATAAATTCTCAAGCTCCACCCTACGATTCACTAGCTTCCTGAATGAATAATATTATATAAATTGTTTAATATATAACTATTTAGTTTGTACAGTTATATATTTTTTTAAATTAAGAAGATGGAAGGATGGTGGAAGTTAATCGTGAACATTTGTTGAGTACGTATTTCATTAGAAAAATTGGTACCCGCCTGCGGGATTCGAACACCGGTGCATCGCTTCAACACGAATGCACCGGACGTCTTATCCTTTAGGCCACGACGACTATTATTTGTCAATTTTTGTCAATAACATCTTAAAAACAAAGTATGTCCAATTAAAATTCTTATCCTTAAAGTAGAATAATTTATATAGGTATCTATACATATAAAAAAGAATTGCTGTTCGTTAGTCTCGCTAAAACTCGACAACGGCTGAACCGATTTAGCTAATTTTGGTCTTGAATTATTTGTAGAAGTCCAGAGAAGGTTTAAAAGGTAGATAAATATCAAAATTCCTTTTGTTTGTTTTAAGTTTATTTTATACAAAAGTTTAGGTCTTTTATTTATCGACTGAGGCACTACGAAGTCTGCCGGGTCAGCTAGTCTCAAATAAAAATTGTTAGTAAAAACAGTAAAAAAAAATTATCATCATCAAAATCCTCAATGAATGTTTTAAAGCGCACTCATAAAGATACATCGACTTGTCGCTTCCTTCTCAACCTGTCGAATTGTTGATTCACAGCACGCGTTTCCGATCCGGAAGATATTACGCAATGTTTTACTGGTAGTGGGACCTATTGTGAGTCCGCGCGGGTAGGTACCACCGCCCTGCCTATTTCTGCCGTGAAGCAGTAATGCGTTTCGGTTTGAAAGGTGGGGCAGCCGTTGTAACTATACTTGAGACCTTAGAATTTAAATCTCAAGATGGGTGGCGCATTTACGTCGTAGATGTCTATGGGCTCCAGTAACCACTTAACACCAGGTGGGCTGTGAGCTCGTCCACCAATCTAACAATAAATAAAAAAAAATTACAACGACTTGTCCGACGAAGGGAATTCTTCAAAATCGTTCGAGCGAAGAATGTGATCAAGACGGCTTTGGGGCGGTTTTGCTTCTAGCGTTACCGATTTTGTAATGGCCGATTCCAATCAGTTTACTCTAGTTTGTCTTTGAGGGTAGTTAGAAGAATGTAAAGATTGTGTAATTAATTTTGTATTTAGATATATATGGAAGAAGGCCGTGTGGTTACCTAGAATAATATAATCTCCTATGATTTCTCATGGATGTAGATAGGCGATTAATGATTCGTAGGAGACGCGGAATTAATGTTCTCTCAGTATTAAATTAGCGTAAGGCAATCTCCAACAAGGAATTGCTATTGGTAGGACGTACTGTAAGCTAGCAAGGCTAGGTACCAAATATTTTGACTATTTCCAGTCTAAGTCCAGACTAAAGGGTAGGAATGCTGCAAAACAAATACAGTTGAGACTTAGATCTAATCTTTCAAGATTATCCTATTCAACCAACACAAAGTGCAGTGTGAGGGGTCAACTCACACCAGCCTGACATGGAATTAATTAGTCGTTGTAAGCCCTAAAACCGCGCCACCAGATCGGTCAATACGCATGCATTAAATCTTAAAAGTCTTTGAAGAAGATACGTGGATTTGAACCTTAACTGCATCCACCAAAAAGCCGTGATGTCGTAACGATCAGTTTTAACATAAATCACCCGAATCTCGTTACGCTAAAAGCCAATTTGCTCGTCGCTAATAATGAAACATATTATTTTTTGCTTTTATAACGTGACGATTTCCAACCAGAGGTGGGCGTTGTTTGTACAAGTGAATAAACAATGTCACTTGTCTGAAGCGTATATTGTTATATAAGTAATGATGTAACGATTATGAAAGGATTTCATAAAGGTTTGAGATCGTTTTAGAATGGATCAGACGCTGGTACTTGTGTTTTTTTTTTTTTCCTACCTAAGCTGATAGCCTTAGGGGCTATTTCAGCGTAACCCTAACGTTTGTACGTGAGCTCACGGGACTCAAACCTGATGACGTTGCTAACACGAACCCTAGCAAGAGCCGTGCTTCGCAGAATCTACCACCGGATCGGAAACGCGACCCACTGAGAAGATCCGGCGAGAAACTCAGTGGGCTGTGTCTGAGAGTTAATTTACTCGTCGAGCCCTTCGTCGCAAGCGACGGGTTCGACGAGAACGATGACCGGTGCTTGAAGTACCTAAAAGCACCGTNCTAACACGAACCCTAGCAAGAGCCGTGCTTCGCAGAATCTACCACCGGATCGGAAACGCGACCCACTGAGAAGATCCGGCGAGAAACTCAGTGGGCTGTGTCTGAGAGTTAATTTACTCGTCGAGCCCTTCGTCGCAAGCGACGGGTTCGACGAGAACGATGACCGGTGCTTGAAGTACCTAAAAGCACCGTTAGTGGATCGGGAGGAGACTTGTGTAAAGACTGCGGTCTTATTTATACTGTGGAGTCAAGAACCACAATCACGTCTTCAGCTTAAGAGCCTTTTGGGCCTTCGAAGAATAAAAAGCACTAGAGAAACTAGCGCAATCCAAGTAGAATTTGTTTTGAATGACATCTCGCAAAGAAACGAATTGCTTTGCAGCTAAAATTGGCTGAATTGCGGTCGTGTACGGACAGGTCGATGCGTCCTATACTCATGAAACCATTTAAAAGATTACCGTAAAAACTACATAGACTGACTCCGTGGAGCAGTTAGCGCCATCGATTGCTGGACGAAGAGTCGTGGAAGATTTGCTAGTAATATTTTATTGTATGGTGCTCTTTAACGCCTGGTGGCAGGACCTCATGTGAGTCCGCACGAGTAGGTACCACCGCCCTGCCTATTTCTACCGTGAAGCAGTAATTCTTTTCGGTTTGAAGGGTGGGGCCGCCGTTGTAACTATACTGAGACCTTAGAACTTATATCTCAAAGTGGCTGGCGAATTTACGTTGTAGATGTCTATGGGCTCCAGTAACCAATTAACACCAGGTGGACTGTGAGCTCGTCCACCCATCTAAGCAATAAAAAAGGGTGCGTGTACTTATGTACGCGCGTAAGAAGTTATACTTTATTTTTATTAAATTAATTTCTTTTTTTTTATTTAAATTTTAATCAATTTGAAAAAAAATCTATTAAAAAACATCCTCAAGCACGCATACTGGACTTCCCTTTTCTTGACATCGTATAAATTCGGTAATTCTCGGTACGGTTCGGAAAGTTCACCTGCGGCTATATTCAGACTCGCCAAGCTACGTCGGTCGTATTGTAATGAGCGATTTAGTGGGCAACTTCATTCTGTTAATTTTGTGTCACGGTGCGCGCGCATCGTAAAATTTCACTCTCATCAATTTTTCATAACGCGCCTAAAGAAGTATAACTTCAAAAAACGTAATTTATGACCCTTTAAAAATGCATCACTCACGTTATCAGTGGACATGGTATTGCAGCCCTTCAAAGGCACGGTGTACTGTAGGTCTCCCCGCTCTGCCACGTATTCTCGGAGACAGCTCGAATTGCTCCCAAGTCCAGCAGGGTAGACGATCCCATTGAATATGTCGTAGATGCTGTGGACAGATTAGATTAGTTTTTTTTTTTGCTACCTATGCTGATAGCCTTGAGAGGCTATATAAGGCTCACGGGACTCAAAACGGATAGACGAGCTCACGGCCAGCCTGGTCTTATCAGGTTACCTGAGCCTGTGGACAAACTATTTGTCGCCACCCACCTTAAGGCTTGAGAGAGAGAGAGTATTCTTTATTGTACACCAAAAAACAAATAAACAGTGCGATGCATTAAATACAAAAAAGTACAATTGGCGGTCTTATCGCTAAGAGCGATCTCTTCCAGACAATCATCAGGTGGACAAGAATCATTTGGAAACGAACTACGCGCGGTGTACCAATCCAGTGAAATATATATATACATATACATATATGTACACATACATACATACATATATCCGTAAATATACATACAGTTAATACACAATGTATTATAATATAATAATAACTAGAGGTCCCGCAGTAGTCGAAATTCGACTATAATTAATTGGAATTGTAAGTTTGTACACTATTATGATTGTATTTTATACTTCTATAATCACAAATTTCGCCAAGGCTACACTATAAAAAAATATTAACAAAGTCAAACAATATTTAATCTATTCTCAATTTGATAACAGACGTCAAGAACAAAAGTTTGACAATAAATAGTATGCATGCGTGTGTGCGTCAAATACATGGTATGTAGTATGTGTAATGTTTTCTTTATTGATTTAATGTATCTTTTATGCATTATTTAAAAAAAAAAATTGCATTGTGCACTTCTTCTCTATATTCTCTATAAGTGTGGAAAATTTCATACTCCTCCGTCCGCGCAATTTTCGTAAAAAGGGATACAAAGTTTTTGCTTCACGTATTAATATATAGATTATTAAAAAAAAATTGCTTCTTTACACATAAATAAGAGCCCTAGGTTTAGGTGAGCTCTAGGTCTCACTGTATAGTTTGATGATGTTATTATTTCATCGTAGAATTCATTCGTGAATACGAGTTAAGTACTAGTAAAAAAATCTGTACGTGTCTGTGGGATTCATGATGCGATTTCATATTAAAAAAAGCGAATACATTTTTTTTTTTATTATTCCTTAGATGGATGGACGGGCTCGCAGCCCACCTGGTGTAAAGTGGTTACTGGATCCCATAGACATCTACAACGTAAATGCGCCACCCACCTTGAGATATAAGTTCTAAGATCTCAGTATAGTTACAACGGCTGCCCCGCCCTTCAAACCGAAACGCATTACTGCTTCACGGCAGAAATAGGCAGGGCGGTGGTACCGATCCGTGCGGACTCACAAGAGCTCCTACCACCAGTAAAATTTTGAATTATCGTATAGATAATTTATTTTTATTACGTTTATGTTAGTATATTCCTTTCAGTATAGCAAAAAAATATTTACACTTATTTATAGTATGTACTAGCTGACCCGGCAGACTTCGTAGTGCCTCAATCGATAAATAAAAGACCTAAGCTTTTGTATAAAATAAACTTAAAACAAACAAAAGGAATCCGTCCGACGGTGGACACATCAAAGGGGAAACAACATTGTTATTTTTATTTCATTCTGAGCTTTTTCATATTTATCTACCTTTTAAACCTTCTCTGCACTTCCACAAGTAATTCAAGATCATAATTAGCCAAATCGCTCCAGCCGTTCTCGAGTTTTAGCGAGACTAATGAACAGCAATTCATTTTTATATATATAGATTTGTTTTTGGGTACACATACGTGTGTGTTTAATGCCTGTATTTATTGTCTTTATTAAGATACATTTACATATATTTGTATGTGTCTGTGTGTTCAGCTTACATATCAATGCACTATTATTGTCTCTGCAATACTTTTGTTTGACTGACAGAGAATGCCTTTGAAACTAAATCCATTAAACCGTACTCGTCGAACTCGACAAAGAGGTCGACGAGCAACCTAACCCATGCATCAGCCCGCTGAGTTTGTCGCCGGATCTTCTCAGCGGGTCGCGATTCCGATCCGGTAGTAGATTCATTCGCGAAAAAATTGCTCTTGAGTTGTTAGGTCTCCTTCTTACTTCACTGGTGGTAGGACCTCTTGTGACTGGTGGTAGGACCTCTTGTTACTGGTGTTAGGACCTCTTGTGACTGGTGGTAGGACCTCTTGTCACTGGTGGTAGGACCTCTTGTGAGTCCACACGGGCTGCCTATTTCTGCCGTGAAGCAGAAATGCGTTTCGGTTTGAAGGGTGGGGCAGCCGTCGTTACTACACTTGAGACCTTAGAACTTGTATCTCAGGGTGGGTGGCGCATTTACGTTGTGGATGTCTATGGGCTCCAGTAACCACTTAACATCAGGTGGGCTGTGAGCTCGTCCACCCATCTAAGCAATAAAATAAAATAAAAAAAACTTACCTATTGATTTCGGGGTCCCGTTTCGCCAGTGTAATGGTGACTTGCATGCTGTCTTTCTCGCAGGCGACGGTGAGAGAGTCCAGGGCAGCGACGGCGCCCGGCCACGACGTGGTATCTGACTCGGATACCGCAGCTACCGTCGTTCCCGGTAAATCTATAATCACACGAATAGGATTGCGTAATTTTTTATATATTTTTTATTGCCCGGTTAGGCAAATGAGCATACTGCCCACCTGATGGACGTCAGCAATGACAGGGGGCAGAGCTATGCCGCTGACTACCGTAATCGTTACTGGGAGGAATATTGTCAGCATATACCAGCCTCTTGGCTGATATTTTTTTCCATTTTTGTACACAGAAAAAAAACATGTTTAAACTTTCCCTTGATAGATAGATAATTCGGCTATTTTATTTAATTGTAATGTAACAGATTAATATAAATAACGGATATAGCCTAGATATGATTAAAGCGCTTTTGGGGCATTTTATCTCGCATTTTTTTATTTTTACAATATTAATATTAAACATATCTTTTCAAAAGAATTAAAATTATTTTTGCGGTTAAGTTTCGCGTTTTTGAGTGTTACAATGAAAACGGTAAAAATGATTTAAAAATTGTTACAATATACAAAAAACGCTCCGTAAAAGTAGTTTTAATTAAGTTATTAGAAGTGTTATTTTAAGTTTTTTTGTTGAAAGTTCTTAGTTGAAAAACGGACCTTCTGAAGTCAATAGTCAATAAGGCGCTCCCACGAATCGGCCGCGGGGTCAATGATCGGTCGTCCACCCTAGAACCGACACAAGCGCACAAAACCAACTTACCGTACATACACACCACACAGTTTTTAATATTCACACATGTACTTGTTTAAGGAATGTATTCGTTTTATGACATATCTGTTATGTTCGTAGGGCTACAAATGCGTTTGCAGCTTAATCTATGCTAATATATAAATCTACAGTAGTTTTTACGGATGTTCCGTTATAACTACTGAACCATGCATCCGATTGACTTGAAACTTGGTATCCATGTAGAAAATACATATCGACGCTTGAAAGGCAAACGTGACTAAGCGACAATAACTTCTCTGTACATAGAGTATGATAGGCAATAACCATATTCGATGCGCAAAAAAAATATATTTATAGGTCTATTCAAATCATTTCAATCCTACAGCTACTAGCTAGATTCTACTACAGCTAGATTCGTTAAAATAGAATTTTTTTCAGGTATTTCAACTTTAAATTAGTCTACTGTAAAGTTCACATATTGTCACTAAGTCATGTTTGCCTTTCAAGCGTCGATATGTACTTAATGGATAGGCTAATATTTATATGAGCGTTGGGCTCCCTACACCAGTTGCGGGGGCGTTAATGATGAGAATCTTTGTGGGGGTGAGAAGTAATAATGTTCATTTTAAATGCCGAGCGAAGCGGACGGGTACAGCTAGTTGAGTTATAAATATGAACTATAGAGACACGAATAGGAACGCGGTGATGTTTAATAATTGTATGGCCCCATAAAAATCCACAAAAAATTTGCTTTCACTGACTTTAAAGATTGACGTCACTGTTTACATTGTTCATAAAATATCTAAGCGAAAACTCGTGCGGAATAGAGACAGAGCATCCCCTCTGAGGGTTGTAAAAAATTTAAATGCTTTTAATTCACATCTATGTCAGCCGATTTCTTCAATACAACTTTATATTTAATATTCAATAAGTAAGTTGTTTTAATAAAGAATATATCGGAAATCCATGATTAAAAGTACTTTTACGGTTTAATATCGCGCGACTTGGTCAGTCGTCCGTGACTATGAAAATTGTAAAATATTCGAAACCCTGCAAACAATATAATGACAAAAAAAGTACTCGAGATAAATCCGTAAGATTCGTTTTAATTATCTTTACCGATCGCGAAAATCGCAGAAAATACTCTCATACTATTTAGACTAAATTTTTTAGTTTTTATTCATATAATGAGGGTCAGAGGTATAAGCATCTGCTATATAGGCATCCTGTATGCTGACAAACACGCGTTTGGAATATGGTGCTAACTCCAAGCTCCATACTTCGAGTCCAAGATGTTGAGCTCAAATTCCAGACACTGCTTTTCCTCATAAAATTCCGCTTTCTCGAATATTTCAGGGATATTGCTAGTTAGGGCAATAATGCTTGCTTGTCGGATTTGGACTCCGGGACAGGCTACGATTGATACGAGGACACCAGACTTCTTATCCTTTAGGCCACGACCGGTTTTAAGGTGGACTGCAAGATCTATGTCCCTCTAAGGCAGTAATATAATTGATAGGCGTCTTACCTGTTAGCGGGATTTGCTTGGAACGCGCGGTCGCGAGCAGCGCGCTTATTAACAATAAACACCTCATTTTTCAATCTGAAACAAAGAAGATATTTGTTTGTATTTGTGGATACTGGTGGTAGGACCTCTTGTGAGTCTGCGCGGGTAGGTAACACCACCCTGCCTATTCCTGCCGTGAAGCAGTAATGCGTTTCGGTTTGAAGGGTAGGGCAGTCGTTGTAACTATACTTGAGACCTTAGATCTTATATCTCAAGGTGGGTGGCGTATTTACGTTGTAGATGTCTATGGGCTCCAGTAACCACTTAATACCAGGTGGGCTGTAAGCTCGTCCACCCATTAAAGCAATAAAAAAAAGGATAGCGTTTTATTTTTTGGAGTATTAAAGTTTGGAGGGTAGAAGTAAGATCTAACTTATATGGGAGGCAAGTCGAAGAATTATCCACCCATTCTAACCGGCGCCATCTAGGCGGGCTCCGGATAGCCTGCCGACCGAAAGGGCTCCGCACTAAGCGCTTCACTTGGAGGGCGGAAGTCCGGTGATTTCCTCTTGACCAAAAAAAAGAAGCTATGAGCAGGAAATTGCAATTCAAAAGTCTAATAAAATAGCGCTAATGAAATGTGAAGAGTTGAACAATTTATATAATATTAAAAACTTTTGGCGTTATCAAAGATATCAGAAGAATCACACCTTAATATTATGTAACCGGTGGCGCCATCCTAATTGATCGCGTTTTGACGGACGCTTTCTTGTACACAAAGACTGTGCCCCAAACCTCTACCGTCCTTATTTTGAAGTCATTATCATTAATAAATAATTCTATTAAATAAAATATTAAATATATCAAAAAAATTTCATAGATATTATTTGTCTCGTGCGATTTGATTTTTAAATGAGTTCCCCTCTGCGGTCATCCAGGACAACCAGCAGTTTGGCTACAACTCTCGTCGTCTCCTTTCTAAGGGTATAAGAATTTGAATTTGTGTAGCTCTTGGGATGAACCTTATTACGAGAATGCGCATAGTACAACTTTACCTTAGATACTTAAGGCGGGACGCCAAGCCTGCGTCAAGAGATCAGATGCTACATCTTACAAATTTAGCGGCAAGGATTCAAATAATAGGTTTTTTTTTCACCCATGCTGATAGCCTTGAGAGGCTATTTCAGCTTCACCCTAACGTGTAGGTGAGCTCACGGGGCTCAAACCGGAGTGTTGCTAACACTGGCCCTAGCGAGGGCAGTGCTTCGCAGAATCTACCACCGGATCGGAAACGCGACCCACTGAGAAGATCCGGCGAGAAACTCACTGGGCTGTGTCTGTGGGTTAATTCGTTCGTCGAGCCCGTCGTCGCAAGCGACGGGTTCGACGAGGACAGTGACCGGTGCTTGTGGTACCTAAGAGCACCGTTAATGGATCTGGAGGATCCGTAATGACGTGTATAATACGTATTACACACATTTACACTTTAAGATCATCACATAAGTCTACAATATTCAAATTCGAAACAAAACCAAATTTAAATATGAATTACGTTTAAAGCAATCTTAAAATTACTGCAGCGAGTAATTAATATAATAAAAGTGGGTCGAACGTGTCTAAAACCGCATTATATTATCATTTTTAATGGCTAGAACCAGCGGAGTACATTGCGCAGATAGTATGACGGCTTCGCTGTGCCAAGGTCACGTGGCCCTTACAACTGACAATCACGTATAGTGGTATTGCCAGAACATTAAATAAATTTAAGGTGAAAATCTAAAATAGGCTTAGGGTAATGCAGGGGTCGGCGACCTCGCGAGCCACATGTGGCTCTTTGGGTATGAAACTGTGGCTCTCGAGTTCCATAAGCAAATATTATTTATCTCTATATATACAAATAAAGTTTAGTTAGTTTCGCTAAAACTTGAGGACGGCTGGACTGATTTGGCTAATTTTGGTCTTGAATTAATTGTGGAAGTCCAGAGAAGGTTTAAAAGGTAGATAAATATGAAAATGCTCGGTTTTAATAAAAATAACAATTTTGTTTTTCCTTTGATGTGTCCCCCGTCGGACGGTTTCCTTTTGTTTGTTTTAAGTGTATTTTATACAAAAGCTTAGGTCTTTTATTTATCGATTGAGGCACTACGAAGTTTTCCGGGTCAGCTAGATTTATAAAAAAAAAACATTTCAATTTTTTTCTAAATAGACTAACGAGGCTTGGGCACCCTTTCTATCTCTCAGCCCATTGTTCTAAGTAAATGTTTAAACGTTTTAATTTTTTACTTAAATAATAAGTGATTATATATATTATATAATTCCTTGTAAAAAACATTACTTATATAAGAATAAAGAAATATTTTTCTAATGTATAATTAGATTCGTATTTTTTTATTAAAAAAAATTTATGCATATAAGTATACTACATATTTATTGTTGGCCAGAATTTTTTGGAACGATGCGGAGGGGTACCCTAACTGGGTAAAAACGTCCCTAACGTAAGATTTTTATTAGTAATGCAGACAGTGTACGACTTAACTTTGTAATAACGTACAACAAATAACATTTTTTTTTTCATTCAGTGACCACGACTTCGGAGCGTTCGTTTGCGCAATACACTAACTCTTATGCAAACAACCGTGAATGAAGTGTACCACAATAAGTTCGCACGTTACCGAATGACCGTGGGTTGTTGCGAAACCTCCAGTTTTATTTTCTTTATACCTCGAACAGAACTTAAAATTAATATTTTTATAATAAGGAACTTCGTTCCTATCCGGTGTCCCACGACACCACACATCTTTTCTTGTGGCTCTTTATAAACTTTGAATATTTGTAGATTGTAATTTTTGGTTATTGCGACTCAAAATGTTGCCGACCTCATGGATAATGCTTGAATATTTTATTAGTTTGCAAATTCCTGCAACGCTTCGCTCTGACTGTCGAAATGAGATCTACATATGTACTGGCGTAAAATTAATAACACAGAACATGATATCGTTATCTTTTTGTTTTACAACGCTTTTTTTTTTGCTCTGGTAACATTAGGTGAATGTGAACAAAGTGATTGGCCATTGGTGAAAGGACAGCACGCCTTGGTCAAACCTAGAGTAAATATATATCACGACTAATTTTTTTTAATTTTTATAACCGGAATTTTTGTCCTTTGATCAAATATTCTAGTCTAAATATCTAAAAGTCGATGTGTACGTACTCTATAGACTGCGAAGCGATTGGACTTACCTAATGAAATTTTCAGAATATGTTTAGATTGTCGTAGAGAAGTAAGTTTGATTGTTTTAAAATAAACTCACCTAACCTAAGATAAGATATAGACAATATTAGAACTATTAAAAGCTGTGTATTGTGTTAATGTAATTTTTATTAAGTAATACAAACCAGTCAAGAATAGGGAAGTCTGACGTGACGCGGTAAGCGTCCGAAAAATTACGATTATTTTCACATAAAAAAATATTATTAATCTTTTTTTTTTATTGCCCTTGTAGACAGACGAGAATACGGCCCATCTGATGGTGAGTGGTTACCGTCGCCCATGGACTTCAGCAATGCCAGGGGCAGAGTCAAGCCGCTGCCTACCTAATCTACGATAGAGTAAATTGGATAGCATCCTGTATTGAAGTGGAACCCAAAATATTGCATAATTACCGATATCAGGGTTATACTTCTTGCGCACGTACCGTTTGGTACCATCCTTCTTTAAATATAAAACAATATATACCAGGGGTGGCCAAATTGATTAAAACCAAGATCTACTGTTTACTGACGAAACACTCTACGATTTCCTCCTCCTCCTCCTCCTCCTTCAGTCGATCGCTCATTGCTGAGCATCGTGATGCGCCCGCCTGTGACCTTTTTTTGTAATTTTTAGCCACTTATGTCGTTCAGTGGCACAGTGAAGTGCGTGGCTCAGTCTCATGTCCAGATACTCAGACACTTGGGCACTCCATCTTTTTCGGTTACGACCTCTGGATCGTCTTCCATCCACTTTACCCGATTTACTACGCTACGATTTACCAATGCCATTTCTTGAAATTTAATGAAGCAATGTATACAAATAAGTAGTATATTTTCTTTTATTAAAAAGATTAACATAAAGCTGAACTTATATAATAAAAGAGAACTATTGTTTTTTTTAAGGCTTATTTGGGTGGACGAGCTAACAGCCCACCTGGTGTTAAGTGGTTACTGGAGCCCATAGACGTCCACAACGTAAATGGGCCACCCATCTTGAGATATAAGTTCTAAGGTCTCAGTATAGTTACAACGGTTGTCCCACCCTTGAAAGCGAAACGCATTACTGTTTCACGGCAGAAATAGGCAGGGATATTTTGTGGAAGGGATGATAAATAATGTGACTTAATGTTCATTAACATATGATACAAGATGAAGATGATTCGTGCAGCAATTGGGTGATTACGTTGCGCAGTCTATAGTTCTATATATTTATATTTTTTTGTCTTGCCACGATCGACTGAACTAATCTAACGAAATAATAATCGACTAAATAATAAATCGGTCGATCGCGATCTACCGGTTGGCCACCCCTGATATATACCGTAAAAAAATAAGCCAATTAAACAGTTTCAAGTTAAATATGGACAAGTGTATCGGTCGATACATATTAGAAACGATGTTGCAATATTAATACCTATAAACACATGTGCGTCCCACTTTCCCAGAGCTTCATGTAAATAAATGCAGTTGCGACACACGGATCCGCTTATGTTTTTAATTGGGTTTAAATTATGTCGTCGTGGCCTAAAGGATAAGACGTCCGGTGCGTTCGTGTTGAGCGATGCATCGGTGTTCGAATCCCAGGCGGGTAGCAATTTTTGTGATGAAATACGTACTCAACAAATGCTCACGATTGACTTCCACGGTGAAGGAATAATACCGTGTAATAAAAATCAAACCCGCAAATTTTAATTTGCGTAATTACTGGTGGTAGGACCTCTTGTGAGTCCGCGCGGATAGGTATCACTACCCCGCCTATTTCTGCCGTGAAGCAGTAATGCGTTTCGGTTTGAAGAGTGGGGCAGCCGTTGTAACTATACTTGAGACCTTAGAACTTATATCTC